AGAAACTCCTGATAGTTTTGGGCAAGACAGTGGGACTCTCTTAAAAGGACAGCAGTTCCCGCTCCATGGGAGTGCAGGTCCCTTGTAGATCCTTCCATGGATGATAACATAACCATTATGTTATGCTTTGTTCTACATCTGCTTTGGCTGCGCTGAGATTTCAGTCCCTAAAACTCCTGCTGTCACCCCCAGTGGCTGAGCCTGCCCAGCCCCAGTAACTGTCCCACAAGCTTCCCCTCTGTACTGGTCCCTGTGCTGTTGGAAGCAGCGACCTACAGGCTTCATCTGGAAAGCCTTCCCTCTGGGACTCAACTGGCTGTCACTTCACGCCTAAGCAACTGTGACATGGGCAAGTCTCCCTCCTCTGGACTAAACCCTGGGCAAGCTGCTGCCAGAGGCAATTCCAGACTCTGGGTTTTGTGAACAACCTTGTCAGCAGGCTGGTTGTTCTGCTTGTTTGGGTTTGGTGCAGCCTGTCCTGACAGGCAGTGACGTTGACGGCAGCAGCACCAGACATTGCCCTTCGGGGGCGGGCACAGGGGATGTGGATTTACCTCACCACCCTCACAGCAAAGAGTCTCCTCCTAATATCTCATCTAAGCCTGCCCTCTCTCAGTTTGGAGATCTGCTTGCATTTCATGGGAATTAAGAGTTTTGGTGCTTTTGAACCATAGTCCAGGGGAAAGCTTGTTCCGGGAGTGGCAGAGATATTCTTTCTCGCCCTTCGCCTTATCTCAGATGATCTAAGGTCTATTCCTAACCATTCCATGATTCTGAGGTCTGTTTAGCAGGGAAAATTCTGATTTGCAGCCAACACTTTGCTCTCTGTGTTTGGAAGATATGTATATTATACACAGGACTGGCAGGAGCAGCCAACATCGTCCTTTAAAAAAAAAAAATCAGAGAGGAAACTGGGTTTCAAATGCAATAAATGCTCATTTGAGTGTTTCTTCTTTCCAGGAAAAAATCTGGTATTTTTGTTAAAATAGCCATTTAAAACATGCTTTGTATATCAAAGGAAGCTGTTTTGGCTTTCTATCATGGATTAGATATTTATTTATGATGTCTCTTAGATCCAATGTTCTAAACATGGTATTTTCACAAGCTGCAGTTGAAGCCCTTCATGGGTTTTAATCCTTTGTTTCTGGCAGAAGTGTTTTTTTCTCCCACCTCACACAGGATCCCAGAGCTCTTTCCATGATTCCCTTGTACTGTTTCCCACAGTTCTTTTTTAATAGAGGTGTTTGAAATCCCCAGTAACGTATCATTCCATCTTAGCAATTAGACCTGAGCCCAAGGGATTTATAGCAAACACTGGCAGAGCTCTCTGCCTTTCTGGAGCTGGGATGTCGGTGGGTTGATCCCTGCAGGAAGGTCCCTTCCCTGTTTTGCAGTGGAGGCAGGAGGCATGGGGTGCCCACGCTGTACCCACGTAACCTCTCGTGGTCCATGGGATTTGTGCAAGGCTCTAAGAGAGTGGCATGAGCGGTGGGTTGCTTTTGCCCTGAGGCAAAGTTCTCTCAGTCCAGAGACCAGCCATTTCCCTGGGAATGTAGTCAAATCTCCAGGGTTAGCTGCCAGACATATGGCTTGGCCTGAAAATCTCACCAAAGGCATCACCTTTGCTGTGTGGGGTTGTTAATTGATTCAGTAGCACCCACCCCTCTGGGGCCTTCTGTTTGGAAATAGCCAAATTCTCCCTAACGCTGCTCTGGAAGAGCCTTGCATGGTTTGTGGCAGACTCATGGATAAAACATGGTGCTCTGTGAAGCACAGGAGCTATTCTTCCAGAGGCTTGTATGGGAAAATCGGGTGCAAATGGCCTTGCTGGATCTTTAAGATCACACTCTAAGAATTGCCAGCATGAACACTTGGGCTCGTTTCAGCTTGGGGTAGAGTTTATTGTCTTTTCAGTGGCTGGTACAGGGCTATGTTTTGGATTTGTGCTGAACACAGGGTTGATAATACAGAGATGTTTTTTGTTATTGCTGAGCAAAGCTTCACACAGAGCCAAGGCATTTTCTGCTTTCCCTACTGCCACACTGGCAAGGGAGTTGGGAGTGCATGGGAGGTTGGGAGGAGACACAGCTGGGACAGGTGATCCAGACTGACCCAAGGGATAGTCCAGACCATATGACATCATGCTCAGTATATCAAGCTGGGGGAAAGAAGGAAGGGAAGGTTTGGAGTGATGGTGTTTGTCTTCCCATTCCATGGGAGGGGGCCCTGCTCTCCTGGAGATGGCTGAACACCTGCTGCCCGTGGGAAGCAGTGAATGAATTCCTTGTTTTGCTTTGCTTGTGTGCATGGCTTTTGCTTTCCCTGTTAAACTGTCTTTATCCACAGGTTTTCTGGCTTTTGCCCTTCCCATCCTGTCCCTGGTCCTGCTGGTGGGGGAGTGAGGAAGTGGCTGTGAGGGGCTTGGGGGCTGGATGGGGTTAAACCACAACAACCCTGCAGCCAGTGCTGGTTCTGGATACGGGACTTGGGAGAAATAAAACTAGATGGATTGATGTGTGTTGGCCAGCATGTGGCATTGCAGGTCGGACACAGCAACTGCTAATTGCTCCAGAACACTCCAGTGTAATGAGGGCCCTCCATGCAGGAGAGGCTGTAGCCAAAATACAGGCAGAGCTGAACTCCAGATCTAGCCAGGAGAGAGAGACAGGGATGAGGAGAGGACAGAGGCTCTTGTTGTGCTTCCCAGAGCAACATCAGAGGAGAAACAGGGAGGGTGAGGGAAAGCCTCAGTATTGAGATAACTCACCCCAGCCACGTTCCCTTGGCTGAGCTACAGCTCGGCGCTCCCACCACATCACTCAGAGACTGGAGATCCGGGGCTTCCAATAGCTGGGGCTGTGAGTGGAGTCCCAGTGGAGGGGCTGGTCAGGGCCATCAAGGTCTATTAGTGCCCTTAGGGTCCTGACAAGAGTGAGGAGAGGCTCCTCACCAGCAGTTTGGGGATTAGCTGCCCCCTGACTGGTAGCTTTAGGTGAGGAGGGAGGATGGCAAGGTATGAAATATGGACTGATCTTTTTCTCAGGGAACAAGGGGGAGCCTGCAAGTTTTAGGTGTTTGACCCAAGTTGCTTCATTGGAGAAGCTGCTTCTGCTTTTCCAAAACTGGGCCCTTTAAAAACTTTCCAAGTTGGGCAGCCAAGACCAAAGCCACCCAGAACCACCAGTTACTTTGGAAGGTTGGCACCACAGTGGAAAACACTGGCAAGAACAGCACCGTGAGTCCCACAGGACAGTAAAAGCAGTAAAAGATGCTCCCTGGAGCTGCTGTTAATGCATGATCCTATGTGCTCAGGTGGGCTTCCTCAGTTATTCTTGCATTGCCCTTATGACTGTTGCTATTAATTACTGAAAAAAGGAAGGGCCTGATTACATCAGGGCAGAGAGGTGAAGGAGAGCTCCGAGATGCACACAGCCACTCTCCCCTCTGTTTAAGGCTGACTGTAAAGAGAAGGTGGCTTTTCTCCAACTCCAGTGTCCTCCTTACAGCCGTGACTGAGGAGAACCTCAAAAAGTGATCATAAGAGAAGACAGCATATTGTCCTCTTGGAAAGAGGGGAACGATGTGAGCAGTTCATGGCATCTTCCTCTGATTTGATGTGACAGCAGAGCACTCTAAGCACTGTCTCAGGAAGCCAAGTACAGGCAAAATGTCTGCTTCCATCTCCCCCTACCCGTCCCCTCCAGCTACATCTGAGATACGACTGCAATTCACCAACTGCATTATGTCTGGGAGAAGGGTCTGTTCTCAAAAGTGTCTAAGACAGCTGGAAATAAACTTTGGCGACAGCTCAAAAAATAAGTGACAACTCAGCTCTTCTGCCTGATCATTTCAGGCTGGGCAGTCAATAGAGAGGCCTCGTGGCCACTTTTCCTGAAGCCTTTGGCCAAAACTGGTGCAATCGTGCCCACAGCATGCCCGCTTTTGGCATGCTGGCCGGTGTGGGTGCCTGGCTGAGGAGGCCCAGGCGTTGTGGCTGCTGCTGCTCCTGTGCACAGCCTGCTGCTCTTGTCTGTGGCTTGGGTGGCAGTGACTGCCCGAGGTGCCCAAGGTGCCCCCCCAGGCCCTCCCCGTGCTGGCAGCACCTCCGCGGGCCCAGAGCTCTGGCTCAGCGGGCCCTGGGACACAGCCCCGTGGGCTGGGCAGCCGTGGGGACCCGGGCTGGCCCACGGCCCTGCCCCTGCCCCTGCCCCTGGCCGGCAGCACCCAGGGGACGTGCCCCGGCAGGGCCCCCTTGCCCTCCTTGTCCCCAGCCAGGCCAGCCTGGCCCCCTTGGTAGTGTGCCCACCCTCCTGCCCAGGCCTCCAGTCCTTCTGCCGCAGGCATGGGAGATGCCCTGGGCGAGCGCCAGAGCAGCCGGCTGGCAGGGAACCGGGAGGCTGCCTGGGGGCTGCTTATGGCCTCTGCCCCCCAGTTGCTCAGCCCTACCCACAGCCTGTCCCCTCAGGGCCTCCTCTGCCCAGCCTGTCCCCTCGCAGCCTCCTGCCACCCACCCCCTCACGCATTCCCCTCGCTGCTTCCCACTCCCTTGTCCTGGCAGGGCCTCCGCAGCCCCTCAGCCCTTCAGGGCCTCCCAGCGCCCCGTCCCCTCAGGCTCTCCCCAGCCCCCACACCCGGCCCGGCAGTGGCGCAGCCCTGAAGGAGCTCCATGGGAGCTGGCTCAGGAGGCACCTCCCAGCCCTCAGCAAGCCAGACAGCAACACACAGGCAGGCCACAGATGCTGCTTCCCGGCTGGCACAGGGCTTGTGGGCACCTCCCAGGGCCAGCTTCTCAGGGAGCCCCACAGCTCCAGGCTCTGCCCATCCGCTCTGCTGCAACTGTTGAGGCTCCAGCAGAACCCCCCAAGGCCAAGGGCCTTTGGGGCACTTTCCCCTTCCCCACTGCACCTTTGGGCAAGTGTTGTGGAGCACAAGGGCCCTTTTTCCCCTCTTCCCAGATGCCCTGTGGACACCGGGCACAAAAAAAACCTCCTGAGCCTCTGTGTATGCTAAGAGGGATTTCATAGTCTCAAGGTGGAGGAACAGGAACTGGTTGCAGAGAGGGGTCTGTCCCGCAGGCTCAGGCGGTCCCATCAGACAGGGTTCCCAGGATCAGTTCTCCGCTGACCTCCGGCAGCTGCCCCACAGAGGAACCTCCCTATTCTGCACATTCTGGAGCTGATCTTCAAACCGCTGGAACCTGGATAAAACTGAGGTCTCTGGACAGCTCTTAGGATTTCCTGGGTTTGAAGTGCCAGGCTTTTGACAGCAGCGCTGTCAGGAGTCATGCCTTCAATAACTGGAAGAGAAAAGAACAGAGCCAAGCTCAGAGAGCAGATCTCTGGCGAGCCAAGAAGCCCCTCCTGCCAGGACCATCTCACCCAGCTCTTGCCATGGCCAGGAGGGAGCAGGGCCCAACGGGATCAGCCAGAAGGTGCTGGCCACCAATACCCCCCGTGCCCCTGAAATCTCTGCTCTGCCCAAGCCGTTCCTCATCTCTGCAGGGAGCAGAGCCCTGCGCAGCCAGGGCAGGATTGCAGCTCCCTGCCCCGGGCTCTGTGCTCCCCTCACCAGCCCCACTGCCCTCACTCACCGTCAATGACGATCTGCAGCTCTACCCGCTGTCCCCGCAGGTACCTGCCGGCGATCCCTGGGAACACAGACCCTGTCAGGGCCCCAGCGGCACAGCTCCCCCCCGGCGGCGCTGCCGGCCCGGCCACGCACCCTCCTGCCCTGGCAGAGCTGAGCCCGGGGCCTTCCCGCCTCGGGACTCCCCAGGGCTGGGCTGGCACAGGGCGGCAGCCACCAGGGCACTCGGGGCCCCCCAGCACATCCCTCGGGGCTGGGGCCGAGCTGCAGCGGGGCGGGGAGGGACCTTGTGGCTCACCAATGAACCTGAGGGCCGCCTCTCGCACGGGCTCCTGTGGGCTCTCCAGGTACGGCAGGGCCTGGCACACATAGTCGACCGCTCTTCTCTTGTCCTTTTCCAGCTGCAGAGAGCGGCAGGGCGCAGAGGGAAGGGTTGGCTGGGGCTCTGCCCCTTGGCCGGGCGCTGCCTGCGCCCAGCACTGGCCTCCCCTGCCCGCACAGCCCTGAGGCCCGGGCAGCAGCCGCTGGGGCCGGCTTTGGAGGGAGCAGAGGGCCGGCTGCTCCCCGGCAGCCGCGGGGCCGCCCTGCCCCACAGCCCAGCTGGGCCGGGGCTCCAGCGGCACCCTGGCTCGGGGGCAGAGCAGCCCGCAGAGGAGCCCGCACGCCCCAGGCAAGGCAGCAGCGGGTGGGGCGCAGGCTGCTGTCCCGCGGGCGGCTGCAGCAGTGGGCAGGGGCACAGTGCCGGCCCCGCACTCTGGGCACTGGGGACTGCGGCTTTGGGGTCGTCCTTACCAGGCACTCACTGAACCTCCAAGGCTGCTCTGTCTCCAGCAGCTTCACAAGATCCCTCCTCTTCAGGAACCACACTGCACGAAGCAGCGCTTCCCGAGACGCCTGCAGAGCAACAGAGACCAGGACATGGCATTGCAGCCCAGGGCACGGGACCGTGTCCTTGGACCAAGGCCAGGAGGAGACTGGAGCCTTTGAGGTGCCAGGCCAGGAGACAGCCCAGCCCCCTGCCGCAGGCACACCAGACCCTGCAAGTTCTCACTTCTGCCACATCCTGGTTCTCATTATGCCAGTGGAAAAAAAGTGGGAGCAGGCTGAAGATGATGTGTGTCTTCAGGGGTTGTTTACTCTCCTCCACTCCCAACTCCATCACCTTTCGGAAGAGGTAAATGGAGAGCACTTGCACATGGATGTTGTCCTGATGGAAAGGAAGAGGAAAAGACCTCAGCACCTGCTGCTCCAGGCCCACCGGGGCACAAGCCTGCAAATCCACAGGCCACAGTTTCCTGGCAGCACCCAGCGCCTGGGGTGGGGGGCACAGAGCCTTACGTAGCCAAAGAGTGGCTGGAGCACCTCAGCCAGCCGCAGGGCAGTGGGGGTGGAGATTCGGATGTCTCTGTCCTGGACTTCATTGATGAATACAGAGAGGGCCATCCTGACCAGCTCTCTGTCTGTATCCCACAGTACTTCCACGAGGCTTCGTGTCAGGCTCCGCATGCCGTCAGCCTGTGTGGAACACAATGCTGTGGAATCCTAGAATATCCCAAGTTGGAAGTGACCCACAAGGATCACTGAGTCCAGCTCCTGGCCCTGCACAGGACCATGCCCAACAATCCCATCGTGTCCCTGAGAGTGTTGTCCTCGAGCTCTGGCAGCCTTGGGGCTGTGACCTCTTCCCAGTGGGGCCTGTTCCAGTGCCAGAGCACCCTCTGAGTGAAGAAGCTTTCCCTACTCCCCAAGCTAAACCTCCCCTTGGCCCAGCCAAGCCCAAGCGATTGCGCTCCCCAGCCCCAGGCTGCCGGCACAGCTTCAGCCAATTGCCCCCTCCTCACCATCACAGGAGCCTTGCTCAGCACCACGAGGCCTCTCAACACCAGGCGACGCATCTCTGTGCACTGGCTCCACAGGCGCCTGGAAAGGATCTCCAGGACGCTGTCACTCCATTCAGTCATGTTTGGGCAGTCCAGGACCTGAAAGGCACGGAGCAGTGACGGGATGCCCGGCCGGCAGGAGCCCAGACCCGCACCGGGCTGGGCCCAGGCAGCAGCGCAGGGCGCGGCACCGTCCCCGGCAGCTGCGGCTGCGAGAGGGCAGAGAGGTGGAGGCAGGTCAGCAAGGCAGCGCTCGCCATCAGGCTCACCTCCACAACGAACGCCATGGCAGGAAGCTCCCAGCAGGTCTTCTCTCTGCTGAGCAGCCTCAGCAGGCAGCGGGCAATCGGGTAATACAAGGGGCTCGAGGCACGGCGCATCTCCCTGCCAGGGGGAAACAGGCACCATCAACCCTGAGCCGGGTGGGCCAACTCTCCTGGGACTCACTGACAGAGTCCTGGTCTTTCCCCACCAGTTTGGGAGGGGACGAGGGCTCTCTGGCAGGCGGCTCCTCCTGCGCACCCGCCTCTCCCAGCCTTTGCCACTCTGCTCGGCCATCCCTGGGTGACAAGGCCCTCTGGCCCACGACCACGGGCACTGCGTGGGGTGCCCCGTGCAGAGGGCAGAAATGACAGGGGCAGCGGGGACAAGGGGGTCTCACCTGGCCAGCAGACCCACTGCATAGTGGTGAGTGTCAGCACTGAGGAGCGTGTCCCAGCCACGCTTCCGTTCCATTGAAAGCACGACATCTTCACACTCCAGATAACAAAGCAGGGCCTTCATGGTCAGCACTGCAAACCTGGGTGCAGAGCAAAGCCCAGGTCACGCTGGGAGCCCTGAGCAGCCCCGAGGGCATGAGAGGGTCAGGAGGACTGGGACAGAGCACCTCTTGGAGTCTGTTGGAAGGTCGTATTGCTTCTGGCATTCCCTCCACAAGGTGTCAACTTCCTCTGGTGTCTGCTCTGGGCTGATGGAAATCTGGAAGAGCAGATCCACGACGAGACGGGTGGAATACTTTTTCAATGGCTCTGTGCACTGGAGCACCTGGAGAATCTCCCAAATCACCCTGGTTGCCTGCAAAAGATAAACCACCCGGACACAGCTCTCAGTGCCCAGATGTCCATGTGAAAGAGCCCAGGTGGGGGAGGGAGAGGCCAGGGAAGACGCAGGGGCAGCCCCCAGCCTGGTGCCCCTGAACCCGCCCCTAAGCCAGGTTTCCAGCCCAGTGCCTGAGGCAGGGAGATGCAGTGCTCAGGGAGGATGGAGAGCTACTGGAGAAGTGACCTGTGGGCAAGTAAAGTCCAGTTCCAGAAACTCACAGCCAGGGCAAAGACATGTGTTTTGTCCCCGTCGGAGGTGGACATGCTGAGCTGTGGCCAGTTCTGCATCACACGGAGCAGCACTGGCAGCACCTTCACCACTGTCCTTCCCGATGAGGCGATGGTCTTCCACAGGGTTGCAGCAGCTCTGTGGGGCCAGAGTTCTGTGTCAGGGGGGTGCTGGCCAAAGTGCCTTGAGGAGCAGGGAGGGACCATGGCAGCAGGATGGAGGCTGACATGGCAGGGCTGGGAAACAGAGGCTCCAGATGGTCCTGGAACTCTCCGTCCCTCTGGCAGACCATGTAGGACGGGATGGACAGGGTGATGCGCTCTGAAGGCTGGTAAGCCCCGAGCCGTGAAGGCAGGGAGGCCCTGTACCTGTCACACGATGGGGCACAGCGCAGGAGGGTGAACACAACATCAGCAGGGTGTTCATCAGTCAGCCTCAGAAATTCTGCCAGCAGCTTCTCTTCTGGAGTGGCACTGTCTGTCAGTCTCTGGTGCACGTCCCTGACGAAGGCTGGCACCTGGAGGAGGCATGGGGGAAGAGCTGCCAACTTGCCCAGCTTCCCTGATGAGTGCTTCCCTTCCCACCACACTGTGCTGGCCTCAAAGGCTGAGAGGGCCCAGGGGAGCTGGCTTGAGGGTCCACAACCCCCTGGAGTGGCTTGAGCCTTGGGCACAGGCTGCTTACTTGCTCTGGACTGGAGACACCATTCTCCTCAAAAATATCTGGAGTGGGAGCATAGTTCGCACTCTCCCTGGGCACGAGGTCAGTGTCTGCAGTGCCCTCGGTCATTGCAGTGTCGGCCTCCGCAGTGAGATCGGGTGGTGCAGCGCCAGAGTTTGTGGGTTCATCGCTCAACGGGATGTCAGAGATTGCAGTGCGATCAATCGATGGGCTCTCAGCGCCTGTTGTAGCATCAGTCATAGCAGGGTCAGACTTTGTTGTGTGAACAATCGATGGGGTGTCAGTGTCTGTTGTAGCATCAGTCATAGCAGGGTCAGACTTTGTTGTGTGAACAATCGATGGGGTGTCAGCGTCTGTTGTAGCATCAGTCATAGCAGGGTCAGACTTTGTTGTGTGAACAATCGTCGGGGTATCAGAGTTTCCTGTGCCATCAGTCAGTGTGTTGGTGACATCAGGGTCTGCCTCGAGCTCAGTCGGGCTGGGGTCAGGCTGTGCCATGACCTCGGTTGGTCTGGTTGTGGTCCTTTTACGCCGAATGCCCAAGAATTTCAGAAAGGCCTGCAGAAGAACGGAGAGCAGGGAAGAGAGGGATGTGCCGGTGAGCTCTGACAGCAGTGCCAGGCTGAGCAGGGACAGCAGGCCCAGCCCAGGAGGCTGTGGCTGCAGGTACCTGTGCTGCCCTGCGGAAGCAGCCACGGGCACGGTCCTGGTCTTGTGTCCGGTCCCGTCCTGGATCTGGCAAAGAGCGAGCGCGGTCAGAGCTGAGGGGCTGCGGGACAGGCCGGAGAACACGGCCCAGCCCTGCATCCACAGGCAGGGCCAGCCTGGGATGCCCAGTGCATGGAACTGCCGGGGGAGCAGTCCTGGGCCCTCTTCCCCCCTCCCTTTCCCTGGCCATGTCCACAGGGGATGGGGTGGGATGAGGCAGAGCCGGCTGCAGCCACCAGCCCTGGGGCCCAGCTGTGCCACTCACCTTCCTGCAGGGGATGCAACTGCTCCATCTTCTCCGGGTGCTGGGTTGGGGCAGCTCCAGGGCCTTCCTTCTTCTTCCGAAAGGGCCTGAGCAGGCTCAGGCGTCTTCCCGCCATCCCACAGCCTGGTCTTGAAGGCACCTGCAAGAGAGAGACACCTCGGAAGATCTCCGGGTCACCAAGTCCGGCAGGCTGCCCTCGAGGCCACCTACCGCAGGGATTGGAGACTCCGGAAAATTTCCGGGTCCCCAATCCTGCGGTCTGGCCTCGAGGGCACCTGAAAGAGAGAAAAGCCTAACAAACGGTATGGGTCAGCAAGTCCTGCAGTCTGGGCTCAAGGACACCTGAAAGACAGAAAAGCCTAGCAAACGCTAGGGGTTAGCAAGTGCTGCAGCGCGGCCTCAAGGGCAGCTGCCGCAGGGATTGGGGACACCTCACAAAAGCTCCGTGTCACCAAGTCCCACGGTCTGGCCTTGAGGACGCTCGCAGCACAGAAAATCCACCAAAATGCTCCGGGTCAGAAAGGAAGGAGTTGGCTGCACGGGGGCTCCGCACAGCACCGCTCTGTTCCGTCTGTCCCGTTGCATGCTCCGAGGAGCACTGAGGCGTGGCCACCTCACCACCACTACTATGTCCTCACGTGTCACAAAGGGCCCTGTGACACCCTGCCCCATGCCCTGGGGACTCCCCCAGCCCGGCCAACCTGCCTCAGGTGGGAAGGAGTCCATTCTCCAAAGTATCTAAGACAGCTGGACACGAACTTTAGGCACAGCTGAAAAACTAAGCAAACCCTCCCCTGCTGTGCCTGCCCACGGCAGCAGAAGGAGCCCCCTCGGCTGCCGACGCAGCCGCAGCGGGAAGGCCACGGGGCCTCCACACGAGCTGGCACGGGCTCCTTGGGAGAAGTGCCGGCTGGTGCCCTCCCAAACACGGGGCTGTGACACACAGAAGGAACGTGGGGGCGAGGGCACCAATGCTGCTCCCACCCCATTGCCCGGGGCTGCACCAAAATCAGCAGCTCTGGCAAGTCCTCGCCCAAGGAGACCTGCCACCGCCCCCAGTCCTGGCAGGGCTGGTGCCCGTCTCCTGCCCCACACAGCTGTGTCCCCGGGGCACTTCTCTGCCCCAGGGCAGCCAAAGCCAACGGGCACTGATGTCTGTGCTCTTGCAGGGGGCTGTTGGGAGCGGCAGCTGGAGCAATTGGTGGCTGTGCTCAGCAGCTGTCAGAGCAGAAACACTTTCTCCTTGGAGGAATGATTTTTTTCGGGCAAGTGATGAGCTGCAGCACAAAACTCCCCTCAGTTGCTGAGTTTTGCAGGAAGATTAGATTGGTTAGACATCCTGTCAAGATTCCTCGTGTTATTTGGACTTTTTCTTGCATTCTGCAAAATAAAAGCTGCCCAGTCTGATGTTCAAAGCTCCAGGTTCTGCATGTCTGGCTGCGACTCCCAGCTGATAGCCAGGGCATTGGGAAAAGTGAAGGGGACAGGGAGAACTCAGGGGTGCAAACGTGTTCCGTGTCTCTGATTAAGGTGCCGGCCTCCTGAAGGAGCAGCCAAGACAAGTGCTGGCAGCAGATGTCTTTTGCCGGTTACTGCTCCCACGTGGACACAGGGCACACGTGTTGCCACGGGTGCAGAACACTTGATGCAAGAGCAGTGGGGGGCTGTGCATTGGTAGGGAATGGGCTCCAGCAAGCCCAAGGTAGGATCCTCTAAAAGCAAAACCTGAGCTTGTGAACTGGGCCATCTTTGCAGCAGACAGCACAGTGCTGACTTCCCTCCATCCTGCAACCTGAGCCAGAGGAGGCCTTGCTTCACCTTCTGCTACTTCTTCCTTCCACTCCAGAAAGGCCTGCGTTTTGAGTTCAGAATCCCTGGCCCCCTTGGTAGTGTGCCCACCCTCCTGCCCAGGCCTCCAGGCCTTCTGCCGCAGGCATGGGAGATGCCCCGGGTGAGCGCCAGAGCAGCCGGCTGGCAGGGAACCGGGAGGCTGCCTGGGGGCTGCTTATGGCCTCTGCCCCCCAGTTGCTCAGCCCTACCCACAGCCTGTCCCCTCAGGGCCTCCTCTGCCCAGCCTGTCCCCTCGCAGCCTCCTGCCACCCACCCCCTCACGCATTCCCCTCGCTGCTTCCCACTCCCTTGTCCTGGCAGGGCCTCCGCAGCCCCTCAGCCCTTCAGGGCCTCCCAGCGCCCCGTCCCCTCAGGCTCTCCCCAGCCCCCACACCCGGCCCGGCAGCGGCGCAGCCCTGAAGGAGCTCCACGGGAGCTGGCTCAGGAGGCACCTCCCAGCCCTCAGCAAGCCAGACAGCAACACAGACAGCCAGGCCACAGATGCTGCTTCCCGGCTGGCACAGGGCTTGTGGGCACCTCCCAGGGCCAGCTTCTCAGGGAGCCCCACAGCTCCAGGCTCTGCCCATCCGCTCTGCTGCAACTGTTGAGGCTCCAGCAGAACCCCCCAAGGCCAAGGGCCTTTGGGGCACTTTCCCCTTCCCCACTGCACCTTTGGGCAAGTGTTGTGGAGCACAAGGGCCCTTTTTCCCCTCTTCCCAGATGCCCTGTGGACACCGGGCACAAAAAAAACCTCTGTGTATGACAATATTTGTTTAATATTCCGTCACTGGGGTAGTAGGAAGGGCTTGCAGAGAAGAGGTGTATTCCCCATAGGCTCAGGTGGCCCCAACAGACAGAGCTGCCTGCATCAGCTCTCCACACAGCTACAGCAGCACAGGCAGACACAACCTCAGAGAGAAGGCCGGGTACTCCATGCCCTGCAGAGCTGGTCTTGGAGCTGCTGGAACTTGGGGTAAGGAGCTCCATGAATGTCAATGTTTTCATGTGTGAGGTCATGGTTCTTGTCCTCTGTCGTGGCTTGAAGGGCTGGAACAGAGAGGAACAGAGACAAGGTCAGAGCCCAGATCCGTGGGGACCCGAGGAGCCCCTCCTGCCAGGGCCATCCCACCCAGCTCTTGCTGTTGCCAGGAAGGAGCAGGGCCCAACGGGATCAGCCAGAAGGTGCTGGCCACCAAAACCCCCCGTGCCCCTGAAATCTCTCTCTGCTCTGTCGGTGCAGGGAGCAGAGCCCTGCACACTTGGGGCAGGATTGCAGCTCCCTGCTCAGGGTCTGTGCTCCTCTGACAGCCCCTACTGACACCCACGCTCTACAAGTCTGCTGTAACTATTTCACAGTCTTTGCTGCCATCCAGCATCCTTTTTTGACAATTGCAGTTGCTGAAACACTAACTTTTGGGTTTTAGTCCATAAATTAATCCTTTATTGTGCTGTATCTTTTTGCTTTGCAGCCTTTAATGCTGATTGGTTGCTTGTCAGTTTGAAGATATTTTCTATCTGTTCGCAAAATTTATGTTCAGTCCTCTTCATCTAGAAGTTATAAAATTCTCAGCAATTTGAGCAAAAATCATAGAACCATAGAATCAACTGGGTTGGAAAAGACCTCTGAGATCATCAACTCCAACCCTTGATCCAACCCCACCATGGTTCCCAGCCCATGGCACTGATGCCACATCCAGTCTGTCCTTAAACACCTCCAGGGATGGGGACTCCACCCCTCCCTGGGCAGCCCATTCCAATGGCTGAGCACTCTCTCAGGAAGAAACTTCTTCCTAATATCCAACCTAAACCTCCCCTGGCACAGCTGAAGACCCAGCCCTCTTGTCCTACTGCTGGTTCCTGGGAGAAGAGCCCGACCCCCCCCGGCTCCCCCCTCCTGTCAGGGAGTTGCAGAGAGTGAGGAGGTCTCCCCTGAGCCTCCTCTTCTCCAGGCTGAGCCCTTCCAGCTCCCTCAGCCTCTCCTCACAGCACTTGTGCTCCAGTCCCTTCCCCAGCCTCATTGCTCTTCTCTGGACCTGCTCCAATTCCTCCATGTCCTTCCTGATCTGAGGGCCCAGAGCTGGACACAGCAAATGTAAGGTTATACTCATTGTTTGTCACATACATAACTTTAGCCTAAAAAAATTCTACATTAATTCTTTATTAACTATTTCTATTTAAGTGTTAGTAGAAAAATTTAAAAAAACTTATTCATACTGTACATGATTTAACGTTTAACAGCCCCCTTTCAGTTGTCCCATTTCCAAGTCTTGAAACTGCTTCTTCTTTGTTCTTGGATGGCTAATTTCTGTTTAATTTCTCCTTTTAAGCAATACAAAAACATACATCTTTTCCATCTGCAAACTGTGTGTCTTATCTTAAAGGTTATAGGATTTTCAGGCAGGTTTCTCAAGCAAGCAAAAGTATTAACAACATTATTCTCAGGCAAGTTTTTTTCAGACAAGCAAAAATTTTAGAGCATCAATCCCAGGCAGGGCTCTCAGGTAAACCAAGCAAAACTATTTAACAGTATTAACAACTTCTTCAAGAGTAGCTTTGCTTTTGCACTGCAGTGTAAAATATTCCTGCCTAGAAGGACTGTTTCAGAGCACTGAGACTGTTCAGGACAGATGTGAACACACCTTTTGGTGTCTCCTTGCAGCAAGCATTTGGTGACTGACAAGTATTTTTTTAGGACTAACATGTGGTATCTCTGGAAAAGAATCGCTCCTGCCATCAGATCTGTAAGAACTGGATTTACAGCTGTGACACTGCAGAGAAGACATTCTTCTGGATGAACATTTGGGAGGGTTTTTGGTCACAACAGACAAATGCTGAACGTGGTGCAGTTTGGTCAGTGGGAGAGACTTGGAAGCACTCAGAGGTCCAAAGTGACCTTGTGTGGGCAGCAGGGAATTGCCTGAAATGATTCCTGTGTGCTCAAACACCAATTGTGAGAAATGAGAACTGTTGCCAGATTTGTGTAGGTTTTCCTGAAAGGATTTTAGGTATCGGGTGTAAATAAAAACCTCATGACAAAACCCTGTAATAACAAACTAAGTTGTTTGTAGTAGGGTTGCATCTGTGATTGTATATTCTACATACTGGAATTTCATAAACCACATGGTTTGTTCTGTAACAGCAAAACAGACCATTAGTTACCCAGTTTTGTCAGACTTCTGAGCAGTAATTTAGGGAACTTGACTCGGCATTTCAGAACCTTGGAACACTCATAAGAAGGTTTATCTGTTACCTGTGACTTGAGAGAAACGTTTTAGAGACTGTGAAATGGTAACATGCAAATTCTTGCTACCAGAGGGCAGCACAGACTGCTAAGAAGCCTTCTTATTTGCCATAACAAATTCTCTGTAGCTTCAGAAACAACTGATTTTAGATGCCATTAGTAGTTTAACTCATTGTTTTCCTCAGTTTTTTTCCTGCTTCTGAACTGTTTGACACACAAGCCTATTGCAAGTGGAGAATGCCATCAGACGCAGGGTTTCCTGAAGTGGTTTATGTACTGGTGGGAGTACATAAGATCTGCATTTGGAAGTCAATGTGGTCTCTGAGGGGTTTTGTCCTGGCAGAGCAAGTTGTCTCTGGCTGCTGAGTGAAATGGGTCAGTGGCTTGTGGGAAGGGAGGGGGAACTTTGGAAGTGCTCACTTTGGGGCTGGTAGTGGTTTTCCAAAGGCATCAGAATTGGGAAAATGTCCTCAGATTTCCTACCTGTGGAGCTGAGTCTCTGTCTGCTCACAGTGTTTCTGTGTCCTCAGATGGCACCAGGAGATGAGCCCTTGCCCTGGTTTCTCAGGCTCAGACATCGATAGTTGCAGATGATTTTGCAGCTTTCCTTGGGCTTCCTGTGGAAGAGGCTGTGAAAGGTACGTGGCATCTCTTCCCTGAGTAGCTTTGGTACAGGTGAGTGAGATCAGAGAGCTCTAAGTGATGATTAATAAAAATGTGTATACAGATCCTGAGACTGTTATAAAGACAAGTGATGGGGCAGTGAATAGAAATCATGTCTTTGGATAATGGTCGTATTTTTGTAAATTATTTGCCACTACTTATTGTTTATTCTCCCCTTCTATATGTTAAAGCAATTCCATGGTGAGGGAAGAGTGAAAGGTGAAGCTAATTCTGTGTGCTATTGCTTTCCTGATGTTACTTGTTGAACTGCATGTCTAAATATAAGCATTTTAATAAGAAATTTATCTTGGAGTTATGGCACACAGGCAGTGAGCTGAGGTACTTTTCTACTGGCCTTAATGTGCCTCTTTATTTTGCATTTCTAGCAATCATATAAGGAAATGGTTCTTACAAATGCAGAAATGCCCTTCCCGGTGGGCTAGAGCAGGACTGGCCAGTAGGCTTTGCAACTCGCACGGTGATGCCTAAAAAGCCAGGTAGGGGGAGCTGTTATTTCATGAAACACCGAGGGCAGCCTTTTCGAGGAACTGGGTGTTAGTTTTGAATTAAAACTGCACAGAATTCTGTTAGGTGTGTTTTGGAGGCTAATGCTGCTTATAAACATGGGACAGGTATAAAATGTAAGGAAGTACAAAACGGTGGGTTTGGTTTGGACTTCGGAGTGGTTTGGATTAAACTACATCCTCAGGTGAACTTTTTTAAACAAAAGCTGTCAGGATATGCTGTGATTGCTCTGCTCCTCTGCTGCTGGCTCTGATTCAGTGGCACATAAGCTGGATGATCTGCAATGATATGTCTTAATCTAAGAAAGATGAGTAAAAAAATATAGCATTTTGAACCTGAGAATTCTTTCAGGAGAATTAGAGCATTTTTGGGCAGGGATTTAGTGAATCCTTGTGTTCTGAGGAGCCCCAGTTGTTGATATACTTTCCTTTGCTTTTAAAATTTATTCTGCTGGATCTTATCTTTACTGTCGTGGTGTTGATACCAGAATCTCTGTTCCTGCAAAGCTTGGGCTGCAGAAATACTTGGCTTTTTTTTTTTTTTTTTTTTCTAAAGTTTTATCTGTATCTGGCTGAGGCAAAAATAAATGTTAAGCTATGGAAGCAGGATGGAATGACTGGTGTTAAGCTGCTCTGTGCAGCTCTGGAAGAAGGAGCCAAATTCCAGCATATCTGAAAGGGC